CCGTAAGTATGCACAAGGCTTACTTTATAGCTCTGTAAGTATGCTCACGGCTTACTTTATAGTTCCGTAAAAATATACGCACAAGGTTTACTTTATAGTTCCATAAGTACCCACTTTATAGTTTTGTAAGTACGCACAAGGCTGCCTTTATAGTTCAGTAAGTCCGCACAAGGTTTACTTTATAGTTCTGTAAGTATGCCCAAGGCTTTCTTTATAGTTCCATAAGTACGCACTTTATAGGTTTGTAAGTACGCACAAGGCTTACTTGATAGTTCCATAAGTACGCACAAGGCTTACTTGATAGTTCCATAAGTACGCACAAGGATTACTTTATAGTTCCGTAAGTAGGCACAAGGCTTACTTTATAGTGCCGTAAGTATGCACAAGGCTTACCTTATAGTTCTGTAAGTATGCACAGGGCTTACCTTATAGTTCTGTAAGTATGCAGAAGGATTTCTTTATAGTTCCGTAAGTATGTACAAGGCTTACTTTATAGTTTCGTAAGTATATACGCACAAGGTTTACTTTATAGTTCCATAAGTACGCACTTTATAGTTTTGTAAGTACGCACAAGGCTTATTTTATAGTTCCGTAAGTACGTACCAGGCTTACTTTATAGTTCCGTTAGTACGCACAAGTCTTACTTAATAGTTCTGTCAGTATGCTCAAGGCTTACTTTATAGTTCTGTGTTAGTACGCACAAGGCTTACTTTGTAGTTCTGTAAGTATGCTCATGGCTTACTGTCCTTATTCACTATCTTGAAAGCTATCTAAAGAATGAACAACACAAGCACTTCAGTCATATCAAACCATTTTAATAGCGAGTTCAAAGCAGAATGCTAGAATTATCATGAAAACATAACTTATTATAATAGCCAACATCACACCCTTAACAGAGATGTCAACAACTATGCTCAAGGCTTACTTTATAGTTCCATAAGTACCCACTTTATAGTTTTGTAAGTACGCACAAGGCTGCCTTTATAGTTCAGTAAGTCCGCACAAGGCTTCCTATATAGTTCAGTAAGTCCGCACAAGGTTTACTTTATAGTTCTGTAAGTAGGCTCAAGGCTTACTTTATAGTTCCGTTAGTACGCACAAGTCTTACTTAATAGTTCTGTCAGTATGCTCAAGGCTTACTTTATAGTTCTTTAAGTACGCACAAGGCTTACTTGATAGTTCCATAAGTACGCACAAGGATTACTTTATAGTTCCGTAAGTATGTACAAGGCTTACTTTATAGTTTCGTAAGTATATACGCACAAGGTTTACTTTATAGTTCCATAAGTACGCATAAGGCTTACTTTATAGTTCCGTTAGTATGCACAAGGCTTACTTTAAAGTTCTGTAAGTACGCACAAGTCTTACTTTATAGTTCCATAAGTACCCACTTTATAGTTTTGTAAGTACGCACAAGGCTTATTTTATAGTTCCGTAAGTACGTACAAGGCTTACTTTATAGTGCCGTAAGTATGCACAAGGCTTACCTTATAGTTCTGTAAGTATGCAGAAGGATTTCTTTATAGTTCCGTAAGTATGTACAAGGCTTACTTTATAGTGCACAAGGCTTCCTTTATAGTTCTGTAAGTATGCACAAGGCTTTCTTTATAGTTCTGTAAGTTCGCACAAAGTTTACTTTATAGTTCTGTAAGTACGCTCAAGTCTTACTTTATAGTTCCATAAGTACCCACTTTATAGTTTTGTAAGTACGCACAAGGCTTCCATTATAGTTCAGTAAGTACGCACAAGTCTTCCTTTATAGTTCTGTAAGTATGCACAGGGCTTACCTTATAGTTCTGTAAGTATGCAGAAGGATTTCTTTATAGTTCCGTAAGTATGCACAAGGTTTACTTTATAGTTCTGTAAGTATACTCAAGGCTTACTTTATAGTTCTTTAAGTACGCACAAGGCTTACTTAATAGTTCTGTCAGTATGCACAAGGCTTCCTTTATAGTTTAGGAAGTACGCACAAGGCTTCCTTTATAGTTCAGTAAGTACGCACAATGTTTACTTTGTAGTTCTGTAAGTATGCTCATGGCTTACTGTCCTTATTCACTGTCTTTTATAGTTCTGTCAGTATGCCCAAGGCTCCCTTTTAGTTCTGTAAGTACGCTCAAGTCTTACTTTATAGTTCCATAAGTACCCACTTTATAGTTTTGTAAGTACGCACAAGGCTTCCTATTTAGTTCAGTAAGTACGCACAATGTTTACTTTGTAGTTCTGTAAGTATTCTCAAGGCTTACTGTCCTTATTCACTATCTTGAAAGCTATCTAAAGAATGAACAACACAAACCCTTCAGTCATATCAAGCCATTTTAATAGCGAGTTCAAAGCAGAATGCTAGAATTATCATGAAAACATAACTTATTATAATAGCCAACATCACACCCTTAACAGAGATGTCAACAACATTTCAGCTGCTTTTATATACAATAATGTAGCGTAAAACCTTGATATAACGCCCCACCCCCAGAACAACTGCCATCTCCCTTGATATAATGCCCGTTAGTACGCACAAGGCTTACTTTCTAGTTCCGTAAGTACGTACAAGGCTTACTTTATAGTTCCGTACGTATATACGCACAAGGCTTACATTATAGTTCCGTAAGCACGCACAAGGCTTCCTTTATAGTTCAGTAAGTACGCACAATGTTTACTTTGTAGTTCTGTAAGTATTCTCAAGGCTTACTGTCCTTATTCACTGTCTTTTATAGTTCTGTCAGTATGCACAAGGCTTACTTTATAGCTCTGTAAGTATGCTCACGGCTTACTTTATAGTTCCGTAAGAACGCACAAGGCTTACTTTCTAGTTCCGTAAGTACGTACAAGGCTTACTTTATAGTTCAGTAAGTACGCACAAGGCTTCCTTTATAGTTCAGTAAGTACGCACAAGGTTTACTTTGTAGTTCTGTAAGTATGCTCAAGGCTTACTGTCCTTATTCACTGTCTTGAAAGCTATCTAAAGAATGAACAACACAAACACTTCAGTCATATCAAACCATTTTAATAGCGAGTTCAAAGCAGAATGCTAGAATTATCATGAAAACATAACTTATTATAATAGCCAACATCACACCCTTAACAGAGATGTCAACAACATTTCAGCTGCTTTTATATACAATAATGTAGCGTAAAACCTTGATATAACGCCCCACCCCCAGAACAACTGCCATCTCCCTTGATATAATGCCCCACCCCCAGAACAACTGCCATCTCCCTTGATATAACGCCCCACCCCCAGAACAACTGCCATCTCCCTTGATATAATGCCCCACCCCCAGAACTACTGCCATCTCCCTTGCCGCCACCATTTTTCATGTTCTCCTTTTCCCGAATTTTTCTGAAGAATTCATTATTAATATCCTCTTGATATTTGTTCAGACCTCTTTATAATGCCAAAATTTCACAGGACAAAATGGTGTCGGCATAATGAAGTTTTACTGTTACTTGTTTAAATCCTCAACACATTAAGTGCCCCAAACACGCATTTAAAAAATGATGACATATGGGAGCATTCTCTCGGAAAACCATATATGATCAAAGATTTGTGTATCACTCCAACTATCCTGTCTGTCTGTACAAATTGCAAGATTTCTTGTTTGTCTTTGAATCATGAAAGTGAACTGTTTTAAAATGTAGCACAACATTACAAATTAGCCAAAGATACGTTTGCCTCCCTCTAATACACCTGTATTCAGCATGTGTATTGCCAAATGATCCAGTAAGGGGAAAAAAATCATGACTTTTTTCTCTATTATTTATCAAAATTTTAAAAGTTGTTTAGAGTGGTATCTCAAGGCAAGGAACAAACACTGCCTACTGACAGGAACGTGAACTAGTCCACAGACCACTAAATTCAAACAACTCGATTACAACACGTGGTGGCAGTAATTACAACAACACATGGTGGCAGTGAGCAAGACAATAGGAACAACCACTTTGTGAACTGAACGACGAAAGCTGCAAACTTTTCTAATTAAACTACAATATTTAGTATATTCTCATATGAAAATAAAAACTACAAAGGACAATTACAAATTAAATATTCATCTTTTATTATGGTATTAAAAGCAAAAGGTGTACGTCAAAAGATCATTCTACGCTTTTCAATCATTTAAAATCATGCATATACCCTTAAAATAATGATGTCAACAATCTGGTGGGTTTTAAACTCCCTATGAACAATATACAACAAACACATCACAGACAGATCTATAGGGCGTCATATATAAAGATGGGTTTCTGATGATTTTCCTTATCTTTAAGCATTTTTTTAATATTTATACATTAATGTAACAACAATGCTATATATATTTTAAGGATCCTCATACCACTCTCATAAGCTGTAACTTTCCTTGAAAATGTTTTTCCGACATGACTATAACTTTGATAAATCATTTCTGAAAAGAATACCATACTTTGTAGGATTTTATGAAAAGAGAATAAGCTGAAATAAACAAAACACAATCAACAACAGTGTTCTAAGAGTAAAAATTCATCACTCAAACCATTGGAGCTACATGGGTAACAAAAGTGCCTTAATTAGCTAGCCCAATTGCATTACAGTTGTATCAAAAACAAAATTAAGGGGAGGTTACTGTATATATAAGAAAAAACACTGGAATCTCAATTAATGTCGACTCTACCTGCAGTGGGACAGGGATCCTTAAAAAATGAAATATTAGAAAACATCAACAGAAGCCCAACTTATTGGAACTTTAGAAGTTAATACTGTTAGTAACTAGGTCATGATAAAACTTTAGTATTAAAAATACATAATTTATATAATGGGACTTTTCATTGTTTTCAAAAAACTTTTTAACATATATATTCTTGGAATATAAATTAAACAAATACTGAAATGCACGTCCTGAGTTACACTGTACAAACAAATTCCATACACCATCCTTCTATACAACATGTATTTGTATGGTTTGTAAAATATATTCATCCTTTTAAAAAATTCTATTTAAAATTTATATTATATACTTTTTTCTCTCTTTCATTTCAGTTATATGTATATATATATATATGTACCAACATTTCTTGATTACAGATAAAATAAAAAATCTTTTCTGGCTGTAGTTCCAACACCTTAACATAATTAAATTATATTTTCTGTATAGTCATTAACAATATAAAGGTCATTTAAACATACAATATTCATATAAACAATATTTTTTTGGAGGAAAAGGAAATTAACTCATTCACCCCTAAAGTCATATTTAAACTCTTCCAATTCAAAGGTTGGAATAGTTCATTATGAAATTTCAGGGGTGATTGATTTAATCTAGCAACAGCCTGTTATAACAATATTCTAGAAAGTTACATCAACACCAAACTATAACAGTACTACAGTAAATATTTATTTAAGACAAGGGATATTATTTTCTCCTTTGATTAATACACAGCAAACTTTACAAGATGAAAGTTTTGATTAAAGCAAAGTAAGCCAGAGAAATAACACAGATTTTAAAAATATATAACTGACATAATAAAAAGTGAATGATTTTCTGGTGTGAAATTTTTGCCGGCTGAATTCAAGTACCACTCAAATAGTTATGATTAAATTACAATATCCTCAACCATTTATCAAAAGCTAAGTTAGACAAGTTAAGTGTACACCAGATAAACATATTCTATAGAATATCATCAACTTCCTTGGAAGGGTTAACAATATTGACAGTAATAAACTAAAGAAAAAGATTTCAAACAATGTTATTCTTGAACTGGCAACATCACAATAGGCAAAGTTCTACAGAAATTTCAAATTTGTAGTTTTCACACTTTGATGTAAATAAACTATTGCTTACATTACCCATTCTACCACACTTATTTCTTCCAAAACATTGCAACGAAAACATTTCTTTATGGTAATATTTTCCTTTAAAACCATCTCATTATAACTACATGTACTCTTTTCAATATACTCCAACTGGTGTGTTTCTTTAAACCACCTCTCTATGAAGACCATCAATCTATCAAACACTTTTTTTTAATCCCTCCCTTGTGCAGTGTATAGAGGCAGGTTTTAATGCATAATGTACATTGGGACGGAATAAACGAGAATATGTACAATTTTTTTCTAATTTCAAAATTGTTGTCATCACTAGTATTGCAGTATCTGAAAAACATTACCTGTAACATTTTTGGGCAGAATATTTTCGAAATATTTTCTCTCATTCAACAGACAAGTGTCCATACATAACAGTTATTCTTTAAGTTTGTTTAAAGCTGATGATGGAAATTAAAACTATAACAGCGATGAGCTCCTACTGACTGGTTGAGGTGTTTTATAACCCTGCAGACACAGGCCTGGCTGTCACCTGGTTGTAAACAGACAAATACCACGAAGGGGTTGACTTCCTACTAGTATTTGTCATGAAGTGTTTTGATTCAGGAATAAGGTTTTGGGTAAATTTGTTCTAAATTTACTTTTTATCTTTATAGAAAATATTATATTTTCCATTAGAAAGTGTGGTTTGTCTACATATGGTTTCAAATTCAATATTCAGTTTAACACATTTTATTTTACAGTTGTTTCGATAAAGTAAAACCTGCTCATGTGTCCACCTCTATGAAAAGACCATCTCTGTTAAGAGACCACCTGATTTTGATGTGAACTGAACCTGTATCAAGAGACCACCTGTGTTAGGAGATCATTATTTTTAACTCCCACTAAGGTGTCTGAACACATGTTTGACTGTTCATCAATTATGAAAATATGTGTTTTGTTAGTAAATATGTTTAACTGGTGATTTATAAATTGGAATGTAGTTAAAAAACATTAAAAAACTAACAACACCTAAATATCTACCTCTCCCCCACCACCACCACACCAGGGTAAGAACGAAATTATTTATCAGCAATGAAATATGTTTGAATAAAATATGTTTAAAGTAAAATGGAAACAGATAATTTATTTTCTTATGATCTAATAAATGGTCTTGCTAATTGCAGTACGTGATAAAAAGTAAATGTCAAAAAAAGAAACGAATACAAAATTTATCACAGTTGGCCATGGACTGATGTAAGAATCATTTTAAAGACATCTTAATGAAATCCTTTAACTCTGGTATATCTTAAGACAAACTGTCCATACAGTTGAATAGGAAATTTTAGCGACCGACTCGTGATCATTTTTACACTTTAATTGTTCTTTAATATAAGCAGGCAGCAAATTCCACCAAGTTTCATAATTTATCAAGACAATTTCAGTAAATGTTAAGTCTCTTAACGAAAATTGTCATCAAAGAGGAACCAAGTTACTGCAAACCGGGAGACGCTTGGCAGAGTCAATTTTTCAGCCATTCACTTTCCGTAATTAGTTAAGATAATTCATCATGATGGTGATTACATGTACTTTTTCACATATCTAAGCATAGAGTTTCTTTTGTGAACGATGAAATTAACTTTAATATGGATTTGTTGGTTTTAAAAGTGAATGTTTCACCGAGTTACGGTTTTGCGGTATACAGTACATATTTCCAAAGTATTCCACATCTGGTCAAATTTTATTACAGTTTACAGTAAATCTAAACTGTAAATCTCAGTCTGTATACCTATGACGAGTCATACAAGACAATGATAGTACAAAACAAACAACAGTTTAATTTATAAACAATTAAACTTAATTAACATTTAAAGATTCTCACAGGCAAACATTGTCCTCAAAAAAGCTCCATTTTAAATCAATTAAAAAATGACACCATATGATAAAAAATCACACAATATATATTTCATACACAATATTAAGATAAATTTCTATGGTTCAACAATTTTGTAAAATTATCAAAAATAACTTAAATTTCATAGGAATGGTTAAAATTACAGAAACATGAAATCATAGACTCACGGTAAACATTTTAATCACACACAGTACAAACTCTTTGTCAAATCTGACCACCTTTATTCCAGAAAACATGCTTTCCAAACACTTGCATATTGCATTCTGCTGAAGCTATCTTTTCAATGTTGTTTCCCCCTGGAATTCGATTGTATTATGCAGTATAAATAGAGTTTTTTCATTAAATCAGAAAATTTGCTTTTCTCAATATTCTTTTTTTTCTGGAAATAAACTGAATTTCCATTTCATCTATATATCATTCTGGAAAATGTTCAAATCAGGAATGTAATGATTATATTTGATAATTAAAATGAGTGAATCATTGATAAGGAAAATAATTGTAAGTCTAGATTGTTGTTGTTTTTAACTTGGGAAACCTCAATTTTCTAGTTTACTTAAGTATTTTAGAGAATGATCAAAATGAAAGATTGGATTATGAAAAAAATATATGAACTTTTCAACATTTTCCCTCTTGAAACATGTCCAAACTACTGAAATTCATATATTATGCATAATATTTAAATAATAATGCATTGCTCATCACATTTATAATCAAAAGCAGTATTTCCACATATACATGTACAGTGGACCACCAATGGGTCCGCACAACAATAATCTAGAAGATTGACTTTCCAAATAACAATATTTAGAAGCAGAAGTACGTTCTAAAACAAATCATACTCCGTTATTGCTGAAATTCAGTAGTACTGACAATAGATCTCCTTCGGAAACAAAAGTATCCAGACAAGATTCCACTGAACTTTTCTATATCCTTTCCCAAATGTTCACACACACAATGAAGAACCAATTCACAATGCTATAAAGCTGCATCAGTTAGCTATAGACAAGTAAGCTGTAGAGAGCATTCATTCTTTTCTCCCGTCCAAAATTGACAAAATTTCGGCACAGTTGACTTGAGCTAGATGCACAGCAGCATCGATTTCCTCTTTCACCTGTAAGTAAAAATTAAATCAATTAGGCCAAACACAACTGATTATTACATTGTCATGATGGAAATAAAAAGTATCAATTTTGTTTTTTGAAATTTATTTCCAATATTTGATCACTTCTACTTTAGTAAACAAAAATCGGACATCAATATAACACAATATAAAATGTTGATGTCCAGTCACTTTAGCCAGGAATGAAGTTGACTGGATTAAGAAGACCCTACTAAGAATATTATGGGGTATTGACTGACCTTGGCTTTGACCTCTGCGTCCTGGAGATCGTTGAGATTGGTCATTACGTTGTAGAATGTTCCCCACACAGCTGTCTCCAGTGTCCGTACTCCAACCTGTAATATAAAGTATTGTCAAGCTTATCAACTGTAGAGAACTAGGAATTATCGGTAAAATTACACATGTCTCCTCTCCTGCTTTGTACATCCTTAAATGACCTAAGCTGTTGATAGGACATTACACTCTACACAACCAACCAATCAACTCTCCTGCTTTGATGGAAATGGAGATAAATGCAGTCTTACTAAAGAAATGGAGCTAAATGCAAAGTCTTACTAAAGAAATGAAGCTAAATGCAAAGTCTTACTTAAGAAATGGAGCTTAATGCAGTCTTACTAAAGAAATGGAGCTGAATGCTGTCTTACTAAAGAAATGGAGCTAAATGCAGTCTTACTAAAGAAATGGAGCTAAATGCAAAGTCTTACTTAAGAAATGGAGCTAAATGCAAAGTCTTACTAAAGAAATGGAGCTAAATACATAAATACAGTCTAACTAAAGAAATGGAGCTAAATGCAAAGTCTTACTTAGAAATGGAGCTAAATGCAAAGTCTTACTAAAGAAATGGAGCTAAATACAAAGTCTCACTAAAGAAATGGAGCTAAATGCAAAGTCTTACTAAAGAAATGGAGCTAAATGCAAAGTCTTACTAAAGAAATGAAGCTAAATGCAAAGTCTTACTTAAGAAATGGAGCTTAATGCAGTCTTACTCAAGAAATGGAGCTAAATGCAGTCTTACTAAAGAAATGGAGCTAAGTGCAGTCTTACTAAAGAAATGGAACTAAATGCAAAGTCTTACTTCAGAAATGGAGCTAAATGCAGTCTTACTAAAGACATGGAGCTAAATGCAAAGTCTTACTTAAGAAATGGAGCTTAATGCAGTCTTACTCAAGAAATGGAGCTAAATGCAAAGTCTTACTTAAGAAATGGAGCTAAATGCAAAGTCTTACTTAAGAAATGGAGCTAAATGCAAAGTCTTACTAAAGAAATGGAGCTAAATGCAGTCTAACTAAAGAAATGGAGCTAAAAGCAAAGTCTTACTTAAGAAATGGAGCTAAATGCAAAGTCTTACTAAAGAAAAGGAGCTAAATACAAAGTCTCACTAAAGAAATGGAGCTAAATACAAAGTCTCACTAAAGAAATGGAGCTAAATGCAGTCTTACTAAAGAAATGGAACTAAATGCAAAGTCTTACTTCAGAAATGGAGCTAAATGCAGTCTTACTAAAGAAATGGAGCTAAATGCAAAGTCTTACTAAAGAAATGGAGCTAAATGCAAAGTCTTACTTAAGAAATGGAGCTAAATGCAGTCTGACTAAAGAAATGGAGCTAATTATAAGGTACAGCCAAAGACTTTGAAGCGGAAAAACTAGGTCATCATGACCTACATTTAATATCTTGGTGTTGTACTCAAGATACATTCTGATGATCATGATTGTTGGACTTCCAGTATTAGACAAATGGAGTAAACCCAAAGTCTAGTCAAGACATTGTATGGAAAGATCCACAGACAAACAAATGGAAAATGCAAACACTACATGCCGCCTCCTCTTTGCGAGGCATCAAATGGAACACAGTACCTATTGAAAACAAGAGGCCTAATGGGCCTGCATCGCTCCCCTGTTATTAATATCACACTTGTAATTTCAGAATATCAGTGTTTGATTCATAACAACCTATTAAAAGATTTAAACATTTGATGCCTGTGACCTTGAAATTGTCGAACAAGGACATTAGGTTGAAAGTGGGTCAAGGTCATTAATTTGAACAAACTTGGTAGCCCTTCATCCAAACATGCTACAGGCCCAATTTCAGTACCCTGGGCCCTTTGGTTATTGAGAAGAAGTCGTTTGAAGATTTTAACATATTTGACCCCTGTGACCTTGAATATAAGTCAATGTCATTCATTCGAACAAACTTTGTATCATTTTATCCCAGCATGCTACAGGCCCAATATCAGTACCCTGGGCCTTTTGGTTATTGAGAAGAAGTTGTTTGAAGATTTTAACATATTTGACCCCTGTCACTTTGGAAGTGGGTCAAGGTCATTCATTTGAACAACCTTGGTAGCCTTTTATCCCAGCATGCTACAGGCCCAATATCAGAACCTTGGGCCTTTTGGTTATTGAGAAGAAGTTGTTTGAAGATTTTTAGACATTTGACCCCTGTCACCTTGAAAGTGGGTCAAGGTCATTCATTTGAACAAACTTGGTAGCCCTTTATTCCAGCATGCTACAGGCCCAATATCAGTTCCCTGGGACTTTTGGTTATTAAGAAGAAGTCGTTCGTAGTTTTTAAGACATTTGACCCCTGTGACCTTGAAATGGGTCAAGGTCATTCATTTGAACAAACTTGGTAGTCCTTCATCCCAGCATGTTACTGGCCGAATATTATTATCCTAGGTCTCTTAGTTATTCAGAAGAAGTTGTTTAAAGATTTTAACATATTTGACCCCTGTGAACTTGAAAATAAGTGAAGGTCATTTATTTGAACAAACTTGTTTGCTTCTGGCCAAATATCATCATCCTAGGCCTTTTGGTTATTGAGAAGAAGTTGTTTAAAGTAAAATATTGACGCCGGACGGAAGGACGTCGAACGCCGGACGGACGCCGGACGGCGCACCATGGCATAAGCTCACTTTGCCCTTTGAGCCAGGTGAGCTAAAAACAGACATAAGTGTTTTCCAGTTTGAGATCATATTTCATTGGGTAATCTGATATTTAAATATGAAATTTGTCTATGGAATAAGGATACAGTTAGGAAACATATCTGCTATGATCTGGTATTAAGTGTTTTCTTCACATATCCCCTGCCCCCAGGGACATGTTGCTGGAGTTAAAGGCAGATTACAGTCGACTTCACCTGTAAAGGGAGAGGATGGGGTGGAAATCAGTAAATTAACATTTTTGAGTTATCTGAAGATCGAAGAAATGAATGGGGAGTGGAGAGAAATGAGAAAAGTTTACCTGAAGTTCATTATGGGGATTGGAAGGGGTACCCATAGCATGATGGTGAGGGGTTAAATGATTTTGATAAGAGCTCTCTTTACCTTGTAGATCAGAGTTCATGGCGGGATTCTGTTTACAAAACTGATTTTACCTGTAGATCAGATTTACAGTTGATGTTAGCCACGGCAGCCAATTCCTTTAGAGCAGGCCACATTGAGTTGGTGATCCTCGACACAGTGAGAGGCACATGTACTGCTGTCATCAGACCGTCCTGCATCGCCTCTTCTCTCCTGGAATTAACCAATTACCACGTATGTAAGACAGTACTAGGTATCAGCTGTCTGGCTTCAATTGTTATTGTTAGGTCACATTTGATGATAATTAATTTTGCGAGGACAGACGGAATGCATTTTGATGAAGAGTGCAATCACCCTTGCAGGTCACAAAGAAATTATTAAGACAACACAACACATATTTGTATATGTCTTCTATAATATTCAACTAAATCATGATTTTTGGCATTTCCTAGAAGTCAACTAAATTCATGAAAAATTCAGTGACTGACAATATGACACCACACAACCTCAAGTAATCAATCATTTATTTTCAATTGTAATGGGTTGTACTGCCAAACAAATTGGAGATTTCAGAGAAAAACAAAATTTGTCAGTTAAGAATTCGACTTACAGGGCTTTATCCTCTTCTGTATCTTGAGGCAGTTTGGAGGCCAGCTGGAAAATAAAATATCTTTTAAAGAAGTGTATCACATATTCATACCATAATTATTTCATTGATGATTAATTACAATGTCAGATTACACAAGTGTCAGCTAATATGCATTGAATGTCAGATAACAGAGGTTTCAGTTAGTGTCAGATTATACATGTGTCAGTACTAATGTGCTCTCAGAAGGTCTGAATACACAGGTTTTAGTCAAAATGACAGATAACAGAGGTTTCAATTAGTGTCTGATTACACAAGTGTCATTACCATATATTCACTAAAGGCAGCAGCATCTGCATCTACAAAAGCCATCAAGTCCTTCATGGTTTTGTAAAGAGGTGGCAGTAACTTCCGCATCTTGGCATCTAAGTCAAAGAACTTCTTGTTTCCGTAGCTCAGGAATCCCGCCATAGCTCCAAGGCCAGCCCCCTAGAATGGTACACAGATGATCAAGTTATATATTAAAGTTTAGTGCTTATGTGTTGATGACGAAACTTTTGTCGTCAGTTGCTACATGTATCTATATTATGAATGCACAGTAGTCTAGTGGTAGGACGCTGGGCTCGTGACTGAAGGGTTGCGGGTTCGAGTCACTGCATGGCACGGCACTGTGTTGTATCTTTGAGCAAGATACTTTACTCAGCTTGTTCCAGTCTACTCAGCTTTAAATGAGTATGTGGTTGGGCAGTGCTGGACATTATGAATTCTAGCTGTGACCGGCCGAAATGGCAGCCTTGTTTTGAGAGGTCTGGTCGGCACGGTAGTCTAATGGTAGGACGCCGGGCTCGTGACCGAAGGGTTGTGTGTTCGAGTCACGGCACGGTACTGTGTTGTATCTTTGAGCAAGATATTTTACTCCGCTTGTTCCAGTCTACTCAGCTTTAAATGAGTACATGGTTGGGCAGTGCTCCCCAGGGAGTAGAAAGATATTGGCTGGTTGCGAAGGCCCTATAACCATGGATTATAATTTGTGAACCGCTTAGAGACGACCTACGAACTAGGTTGTGATAAAGTGATATATAAGAACCTCGAATAATTATTATTATTATCTCAAGTTTAAGGATCTCTGCCAAACTGCAGGCAACATACTGAATTTTGTGTGAATCTTTTCACCACTCATAAGATAAAATGTGGGTTTTTGATTATATCTTAATTATATCTCTTCATATATGTACTTGAGTACAATTATAAACAAGAGGCCCAATGGGCCTGCATCGCTCACCTGTTATTAATCTAACACTTGTAATCTTAAGATTTCATAAGAACCTATTAAAAGATTTAAACATATGACGCCTCTGACCTTGATTGTTGAACAAGGACATTAGGTTGAAAGTGGATCAAGGTCAATCATTTGAACTAACATGGTAGTCCTTCATCCCAGCATGCTACAGGCCCAAT